GTCCTAGTGACGATTGTGGGGGCAACAAATGTCAACTGTTGAATTTACATTTTTCTAATCCTTTTAACAGCTCTGTACAATTCCAGTCTCGTATACTATACCGTTTGTGAGATACGAAACGTTGAAGTGTGAACCTTTCTATTTTAATCATCCTGTGTTTTATTCTATTCTCAATGACGACAAAATACCTTTATGTATGCTACGATATGTATTGATTATTTTTAATGAATTTTCTCTGGTTGTTCTTCATACCAATGACTTATCAATGCTGCATGTTGAATTCGACTCTAGTTGCACAGTAGAAGAACATCTGTATTCATTCGATTTCCTAAAAACACGTGTGGTTAATTCACTTTTCTAAAATCTCATAAATCAATTTCATACTTTTTCACGACTTATCAACGTAACTAAATCTAAAATACCAAACTTAAGTAGATTAATAACTTGTTTGAAACTTATATAAATTAATCTGTATACAAAATTGTATAGTTACGTTCTTTAAACACATACACTTATATGACAATATAAGTGAGATAGTTTATTTCTAAAACTTCTATAACATCTTGTATAATGTAATATAAAGTTGGTGTTTTAGTGTTACAGATCGTGAAAATAATATTCTGTAGTATACGTGTAGGAGTTATTTGGTTACATTCTCGGTCAGTAATTGTATACAAAAATCGTAATTCCATTACTTGATTGTTTATTTTAGAGCAAAGCCACATTGGACTATCTGCTGTGTCCATCACGGGGAATCGAACCCCAGATTTTAGCATTTTATGCCCTTAGACTTACCACTGTCCCACCGGGGGGACAATTCTGTTGTTTATTGTTACACTTCATATGGACACATGAATAGAGGAAAATTAAATCCCAAGAAATTTCCTTGTGCTATATAAACCTGCGTTCGTTTCGAAAAGGGCTAATGCCACGTTTCTGACATATTACTGAAAACACCTTTGGTTTGACCTTAGTTAGTATTATTACATAAACTATATAAGAAAGAGTTACATACCTCGACACAGCAGTCACTTTCGGTACACATTCTTCTGATTACGTGTTCTCCGTATCCCTTCTCTCTAGCTACCTAAGTTGTAACTTATAGAAACGGTTGTATCAAACCATAGAAACTCTGTAAAATCTCTACCGATACCAACTTTAGGTTTTGACAAACGCAAGCTAACCTGGCGAATTACCGCAACATGCCAGAAAAAACAGTCACAAATATTATTTTCATTAAGCCCTGATACTTGCTCGCATCAAGTGAGATGTAACCAGTCCTTCTGGGATATTTGTAGAAACGTTTGAACCGCTTTCCCTAATTAACTGATGTTCATAGCGTATCCACTGTTTGAAAATATTTTTACACGTTTGAGGTTTATTTCTGTTTTAAATATGCAACGATGATCCACACTCGTATTCAAATGGCGAAGAAACAACGTGCCTAAAATATTAAGAGAACTACGATGGACAAAAAAAATCGTAAAAATTCCCAAAATAAGAAATACGATAACCCGAACGTTTTTGGAAGATAGACTTTCCTTCAAAAAGCTTTCGGTCTATCAGATGTCTTGTTTATTATTAAAAAGTTTAAAGATATTTTCTACAACTCAAACCTTTTAACCCAAAACACAGTGAAAAAAAAAGTTTTAATACTACATAAATAACTGGGAAACGTCTTAACAGGTGAGTCCTGTAAGTATTTGTATAAAGACCAGTTCTGTCATGTCAGTAAATTTCTCACAGCCTTGAGCTATGGCAACATTAACTATGGATAAATATAAATCATACTCTCAGAGGGCTCAAAAGTGACAGAAAGCAGGAATCAAATTTTCCATTTTTGATAAACGAGCATTTCATTATTTGTTTTTTATAATACTACTTGTGAATTGCCTACTTGAGGTTTGGCTTACAGAGTTAGTAATATTCTTTTTTTAGTTTGTGTCCAACAGGGTTAAAAGTAGTTTCCGTTTCAAGCATGTGTTTTAACATTATAAGCTTAATATCACCAAGGTTTTAAAATTTTAATAAGGAAATGACTACAAAAAAAAACCGTTTTCCGAAGAACGTTGTTATACCATATCAATTGATCTCACTAAAACTGAGTATAATTAACTTTCATTGCTATGGTATGTATATTGTTATGCCATATCAATTGATTTCACTAAAACTGAGTATAATCAACTTTTATTGCTATGGTATGTATATTGTTATACCATATCAATTGATTTCACTAAAACTGAGTATAATCAACTTTCATTTTACCAAAGTTATTCAATTGCCCTGCATATTTTTAAATTGAAAGACTTGCAGTCAGACAGAATGAATCACACAAATGTGATGTTGTATTTACTACTAAAATAAATATTTCAACCACTAATAAAAACAACTAACAAATTTCTTTACTGTCTGCCTCTAATGTATTATTCAACAATGTTTCCAGTGTCTGATATTACAATATGAACCAGTCTTTTATATCTTGAAAAAAAAATTTTCCATACATTTTTGCATATTCTTATTCTTTCATATATGCTAGTTTTGTTAAACCATGTAGTTAGCACTCTGTCCGCACAGATATTTATGTTAAAGACCAGAAAGACTAACAAATTCTGAAGCATATTATTACAAGTGAATCTGATATGACTTCATCGCTTATAAAATCTTTCAAGTGCATAAGGATAGTTACGTTCTTATAATTAGATAATGAGTTAAAATAAATTTAGGTATATATATATATATATATATATAACAAACATGTATAACCCCATGATGATATATATATATATATGTTTCAACTACTCACTTTTGGTCAGTTTAGCAATAATTACGTCTACTCTAGTAAAGTGACCACACGAGATATTCTGAGCCCCTCTACTGGTATCTTAATGACTGATATCGACCACTTAGTTATACAAGAGAATGCTAGGACTAGATAAGATGTTTATAGCTCTACTTTAAAATATGTAGATATAAGTTTTACAGTGTCATTTTCTGCTCTATACTCATTTCACATTGTTCGACAATGTTTCTTAACGTCTTGTAGTTGGGATATTCCACAAGAAAGTCCCCCATTGGAACAGAGGTAAGTCTATGGAGATACAACGCTAAAATTCTAGGTTCGATTCCCGCGGTGGACATAACAGATAGTCCATTATATATTTTTGTTTAAAAACAAATACACACCCAGGCAATATATTTGTTTTGCAATTACTTTCTTTATTTTTTTGACACTATTATCCTCATCCATGCTACATATTGACAATTGCTAACTATATACTGCGTAAGAATGTTTACACATGCGATTTCAAAAAGCCATAATTTTATTGCTTTTACAATCAACTTTTAAACGTGTCCTGGTAACTTAAGTTACTCCATAAGTATTAAAATGCATTCACAGAAATTTTCTAAAAACATTTTTCGGTGTTAATCTGCTTGGAAACAAAGTAAGATAGATATAATTAGTTGAGTCAGACTTGGAACAGTTCGAAATGTCATCCATAACATACACTAAATTTGTTCTATTCAAAGTACAAAAGTATTCATTTAAACGAAGAACCTTTATATTGTCTAGAGACGGGATTTTAAAAGTTTATACTGCGCAAAATCAAAAATGTGTAAAATACCAATCAAATTCTGAACATCAAACTGTCGACACCATGACAACTATTTAATCAGTCTGAATATCCAAATGATGGAAAGTGACCGGTATCGTATAAAATTGTAAATATCAAATAAACAGCAATAGGATTAATTACTAATCAGGCTCCGAGCTTTCAAAAAACAGAATATGTTACAGGCTTCTAACAACATTTTCAATAGCAAGAAAAAAAACAACAACAAAAAACGTGGCAGTTCACGGATCAGCTTCTAAATATCTGAAGAACGAACAATGTTACTAGTCAGTTTCAAATAACGTAAAGGGCGACCAGTCTTTAATTAGGAAGCTATTATATATCTAAGGAACGATAATGCTGTGACCAATTTCTAATAAGGCAGTTGCTAAACATCTAAATAACGACGATATTTTGATCAGTTTAAAATCAAGCCGCTTTTTAATATCCAAATAACGACGGTGTGACCCAATCTTTAATCAGACGGCTACTGAATATCAAAGGCCCCCGGTGAGGTAAACTTACGGAATTACAACGCTAAAATTCAGGGTTCGATTCTGCGTGTTGAACAGGGCGCATATAGCCTATTGTGTAGCTTTGCACTAAAAATATCGCAATGCAAACAATTTCTAATAATATCCCAAATTTAAGATTATAAAGGATGATAATATATTTTTATTACATTTTGAATATCTTTAAAGGACAACATGATTAGTTTTAATTAAGAATGTTTTGTATATACGCAAGAGAAAATAATATCATCAAGATAAGCAATTTTAGCAAGATACTTGCCACACATGATTCACGAACACACATCATGGTCTATAGATTTTGCAGTTTCATTATTTTTCTAGGTACGCATTTTTATTTTGGATTATAATTAATTTTAGTCTTAAAACTATTTCTTTCGAAAAGCAGTTTATGTATTTGTTTCGGATTTTCGAACAGCTACACAAGGATTATCAGTGCTAGCCAGTCATAATTTTGAACAGATGGACTAGAGAGAAAGCAGCTGCAGCTAGTCAACAACACCCATAATCAACTCTTTAGATATTCTCATCGAATGGTGGAATTTGATTGTTACTCTTATAATGTCCCCACAGTCCAAAAGTGCAAAGTGAAATTTTTTCGGTAAGGAGATGTGAACTATGGACCCTCAGATCCACAGCCCTGCACGCTAACCAACATACCACGCCCAGCACCGAGAGATGGTGTATTTAACCTTCACTGTTTATACAGGTATACGTGGGACTTTGTACGTTATAAACCTTTCTTTCTATAATCTGTAAAAAACAATATCTATCCTTCTAACACTATTGCTTAACATATAAAAGTAAAAATATGTCAAAGGCTGGTTAGTTTGAATACAAAAAATATAGAAACATTTACCATTTGCGAAGAGGTCTTCGGTTTCCGGATTATTTCTGGCACATTGGTTCCAGCTAAAAAGCATAGAAGTTAAAAGTTATCTGATATAAAACTTTCCTTTGGTTAAAGTATTAAATATAATTTATGTTTGTAGTATGTAAACAATTCTCCAATCAATAAGTTCAAACTAGCATTATTGACATATGATGAATGTCTTTAAAAACTAGCATTATTGACATATGATGAATGTCTTTAACAAAACTAGCATTATTGACATATGATGAATATATTTAACAAAAACTAGCATTTTTGACAAATGATGAATGTATTTAACAAAACTAGCATTATTGACATATGATAAATGTCTTTAATAAAACCAGAACCTTGCTTTTAATAATTAAAACCAAAGAGTCTGTGTGTTTGAAATGCTAGAATAAATGAGAAAAGTAGACATAAAATGTAGGATTATGTGGAGAATAATATAAACCTAAACAGAAATAAGATGCATTGCCAAGTAACAAAGTTAATTTATTTCGGTAAAATTACGACCAGTACCAGTTGATTTGAAAACAACACTCACCTGCATTTACTGCTGAATATTTAAACCCTCCCTTTAGTAATTATTTAAACATTTGTTCTTGCTTCCAATCAGAATATCTTTCTATCCTTCTGATACACTAATTTTAATATACATTTCGTAAGGAATAAAAACAAGTATACTCAAAAAACAAATGTCAACTTGACACAGGATTTCTTTGTTCAGACACTTAGAACTCACATTTATTCAAACATTAAATATACTTGAAATTGTAGTTTAAACAATGTGGGTCCGAAACTCGCCCTTAAGTCCATTTCCCAGTCTTCCAACCAACTAGGATTTGAAGTTGGTATCTTTTCTACGTAGTATAAATATCTATATTGAACGATTTCTGAAAAGTGTTTTTCCACGTTATATTGACGAAAGTCTATACGTGTTATATCCATGTCAAGGATTATACTATGAAGACAAACACATTTTTATCAAGAGCATGATTCACGCTGTGATGTTAGCTTCTCCTGCCACGTCAACGTTATCCTGAAGTGGTATGTGCGCGTGTGACTGTGAGAAGGACAGAGACACTGGTTGTAAAATGTTTAATAATGTAAATGAAAGTAATGGTATAAAGTTTACAGAACGACTGGTTGTTTTTATTCACATTCAATATATATAAGCACGAGAAAACATTTCAGGTGGTTTAACACCAGCTTTTAACTAAGCACGAGAAAACATTTCAGGTGGTTTAACACCAGCTTTTAACTAAGCACGAGAAAACATTTCAGGTGGTTTAACACCAGCTTTTCACTAAGCATGAGAAAACATTTCAGGTGGTTTAACACCAGCTTTTAACTTCGCTTTCACTTCTGTATTTCTATTCTATAATTTTATTTTATTTTGGACAACAGAAAAAAAAGATGATATACGTAGATGTAATTCGTGACGGTATTGTTTCCAACAGGTGTAATTTATCTCAATGGTTTCACTGTTAAGAATCAGGCATCGGACAATATTTCATACTTGCTTGTTATTCTGCAACCCATATAACTAGTATGTTTATATTCGAGATTTCTCTACAAGGATAAGTTCTGAATCCCACTCACTTTATGATTACCGTTATGAAAAACAGCAGAAAGCTGCAACTGATTAAACGAATGTTTGATGTAACCGGCATCTAAACGAATTGGGAACTTTTGTGATAATTATAATTTCATCCTAGATTTCCTTATTTACATGTTTGTTTCACTCTATCCATTAAATTCATCTAACTAATGCTTTCCAAATAAATTGAACTTGTTCACACTAACTTACTGATGCCACATAAACAAACATTTAATGGTGTTTTTATTGTATTTTCGTGAGAATTGCCATATCAGAAATATACCAGATTCGATTTGTTTGGTGGAGGTAGTCAACAAATAGTTCCTTAGGTTCTGCTTTTGGATTTCGCTATTATGGTTGTCACAGTTTTTAAAAAATCAGTAGTTAATGATTTACGTTTTTCTAGACAAAACATAGCTTTCTCTAAAAGGTATAGCCTGTGTAAAAGCGGAGTGTTGATCTCTATAGCTGAAAAATAATTTCAATCCCAGTCATTTAAGGTAAGTATACTCGGATATTACTATCATGAATAGGATAGATCATTAGTAAACGTCGAACACAGAAAACGAGCAACAGCGGAGGAAATGGTAAAAGTGAGATACGATATTTCAAATCGATTACTATTTTCTTTGCATTGATAAGCGAAACGAAGGATCTTAAAAATGGTATAAATACATTTCTCATGTTACCAAGGTATATAAATGTTACACAGACTGCTCTATAGAGTAGAGAAGCGTTAGGTGAAGAACATTACCGGCCGTAGGCGGACAGCAACATTGCCCTGTAATACAGGTAAGTATGAAATTATTCTTGTAAAACTTTCCATTGGTTTAATGCATATAGAGGAAAATAAATGAAGTGAGGGCACTCGGGAGTCAATAAAAATGACTTATTATTGACGCATTGATATATGACAAATGCGACGACAAACACACACACACATATATATATTCTTCATGAAAACTCAGTGTTAATGCTAGTACGAATGTTTTATAACTGTTGACTTATCTGATACACATAATAGATTAGGGTTATATTTTTAAATCAAGGTTTATATTTTCATCATCCAAAGTGAAGTTGTAAAGCCCAAGGAAAGAATGATCATCCTAGTGTAAGAAGAAAGAAAACATTCTCCGTATAAACTGATGAAGATTCTTGTACGGTTGATAGTAATTCATTTAAGTAGACAGTGTATTGTGGTATGGATAATCTGTTATTTTTATGAACTTTGACATTTAGTTTGACAAATCAAGCCATTGCTAATCATTGAATTTAGCTATAAATATTGTAGAGCAAGAGAAAAATCTTTTGATTAAAAGCGTAAACTAGTTTAAGAAATAAATCAAAGTAGAGATTGAGCGAAACTCAAACTTACGATTCTGCTAAGGGAACAAATGCTTTAGTCACTTAAGCTGTATATATATATATATATTGTTTTGTTTGAAGTTAAGCACTAAGCTACACAATGGGCTATCTGTGCTCTGCCCAACGCGGGTATCGAAACCCGGTTTCTAGCGTTGTAAGTCCGCAGACATACCGCTGTGCCACAGAGGGGCACATATATATACATACCATGTCTCGAACGTCGACTAAACGATTTGCTTCGTTATCAGAGTTCTGGGTTTGAGTTCCGCCTACTCCCACTTTTCATACCTTTAGGGAAATTTCAAATTCTATAGGACGCAGGTTGAAATATTTGTAATTTACATTTTGCATAAAGCGATATTTATATACGTATATATATTAAAACGAAGAATTCCATACATATTATTAATATAATAAAATTTCTTCATGATTTAGTTGTTAGAAGGCGCGCTCAGTATGTTTCTGATTGCTGTTCACTGTTTGCGACTTGGTCTCAAATAATATCAGCGAAGCGTAACTGGATATTTTACAGTGTGGAAACCACTAACGATTTAAAGTTTTTCTACTCGTAACTATTTACTAATATGACGTCATTCGGTCTCTATAAATTTGGTTTGTTAATTCTTTGAATTTGGCCCATCAATGGCTCAACGGTAAGTCTCTGGACTTATGACACTAAAAAACCTGGTTTTTATATTCATTGTGGGCAGAGGCCAAATAGCCCATCTTATAGTTTTAGGCTTAACAACAAACAAGCTGAATCTAAGTTTCAAATGGACAGCAAATTGCCTGTTGTAGAAAACTACAAATGTAGAGAACACGTTTCGAAAGTCTCCCGCCTTTCGTCTTTAGACTAAAGGCAAGTTAGCTAGTCAACGTATAGTGGGATTGACCGTCACATTATAACGCTCCCACGGCTGAAAGGGCGAACGTGTTCGGTGAAGAGGATTCGAGCTTGCGATCCGCAGATTGCGAGTCGAGCTCCCAAACCACGGCTTCTAGTCATTGGCGTATGTGTTTTTTACCTAAGTAATAGTATTCGCACATGTTTACGACATTTCAATAGCTGGTTAACGAGAATGTAATAATTACATATACAAAACCTGCACAAAAATGTAGAAACATTACCTGAAAATATCTGAATAAAGATATATTTTATACTAGTTAAAGATGGGTGAAATTAGTTGTTATTTCAACTGCAACAGCCATACCAACGTTAACGAATGTGCTGGCAGTGCGTGGATCTAAGGGTCCAGAGCTCAAGAGGTGATGCCGCTGGACACAATCCGCACTTTCAGCTATAAGCGCTTTATAAAACTAACAGTCAATCTCGTTGTTTGGGTCAAGAATCGGTCAAAGCTCTTGTGGTGGCGTAGGCTTCTAGCTATTAGTTTTTTCTCTACAGCTGAACCCTAGGGATCTTTGAAGCAAAAGCTAGGTAGGGTTTTATTCTTGCATCTGATGCCAAAAGGCTTGCAGGTGTTTTCTGACACAAAAATATTGTTTTTTATTGTAACAGCTTGGCCACTTGGAAAAAATAGTCGTATATTTACATTTCTATTGAACCACTTATTCCATATTTATATGAAAAAAAAAGGTGATGTTTTGCCGAGTTTTGACAAAGTAACGAAACTAACAAATTATTCACTTTGATCATTTCAGTTCTTATTTTTATTATTTAGTCATACGACACATTTATATAGAACTTATTTGTGCATATTACAAAGATAACAGTATGAATAATGAGTAATATAAAGAAAAATGTTACTTATACTTTTTTATTTTTGGCGTTTTGGTGACAATTAAATAATGCTGGTATAATTTTTGTTTTTTGACAAAATATGTGAAGTATTTTTGTTTAGAACTACGTTTTCTTTGCTTTCAGACGAATGTGGTAAGCATTTTTTTTTATTCATAACCAACTATATACCATTTATATATAGAAATATATTTTCAGAGAATTCGCCTTGCACTGGGTGCTGACAATTATAAACAGTACTTACTATTGCATTTTAAATATCCTCAAGAGATATGCTTATTGACCACAACTGCATTAAGAATTGATAACGAATGTTTGTAGTATTAAAACTTGTTAACTTAATGCAGTGGGAGAGAGCGGTATTTCTACCGATTTATAACGATAGAATCAGGGGTTCGATTCCCCTCGGTGGACACAACAGGTAGTCTGATGCGGCTTTGTTATAAAACACACACAAGCTTAATAGTAGCGATGACTAGTTGACTTATGCCTAACTATTCTTGTATATCAGATAGTCATGCGTGCCATTATCTGAATACCACAATTAAAAGATGGCTAACACACAGAAGGCAGACGTTTTAAATAATCGCCCCACTTTCAGCACACAAGTGAGAAAGTTGTACACTTTGTATATTAGAATAAGACAATAAACCATTTTGTCAATGAATCATAGAAAAAAGACAAATACAATTGCACTGGGACGACGCAAAAGTAGTTCCAAATACAGAATTATATGTCAGAATTTGTCAGATCAATTGGTGAAAAGAACAACTACCACATTAGTTGTTATAAAAATTTTACAGCTGTGTTCGAACAAACTTCAAGCATAGTTAAACCAAATACGAAGACACATGACGTGTTACGTTCCAACATTCAATAAAACAACATCTTCAACCTATTGTGATATATTTCATATACTTGTACATTTTGTAATTGTGTACAGTAAAGTGTAAAGGGTATGAAAGAAAATATAGATAGATAATTGTCAAGCAAAACAATGTCTAAATAATGGCAAACGAGTAGTGGTAGGGTCAAATAAGGTGAAGTCTAAATTTGGAGAATTGCGGGATATCCATGACACTGCCTTATTGATTGTATATGAAAGTTTGTGTTTGAAAGTAAGCGATCAGAACTGTTAGCACCAATCCGTGCACGATATATGACATGATTGCTGAAGAAGGCTTGTGCAGCTTTATATATGATGAAGTATTTTAAGGGGGCTTTGACTATGGCTAAGGCCAGTAACAAAGAGGGACATATAGTGTATAGTATTGAAATCATATAGGAGATGCTATAAAAACATGCTTTTCGAAGTGCAGTTAACTGAAGCTGCACTGGAACTAAGATCAGCCAAGTAATGACTGTTAAGATTTGTCAAGTCCATTGACAGCTGAAAGACAAGCCAAACACCAAGACATTTTGCTACATTTAATAGCATTTTATATTTGAAAGTAATCAACAAATGTATTAGTTAATAAATTGTCAATGTTTGTGCACTAAGCGAGCTAAATATAACTGCAGAAACTGTGTTCTCTAAACAATCAACATGCTCTGTCCAATGTCACCCAGTGGGAAAGCAGTAAGTTTCACGGGCTAACAACGTTAAAAGTCGGGGTTCAATTCCCCATGGTGTATACAGCAGAAAGCCCAATTTGGCTTTGCTCTAGAAAAACAAAACAATAAATACAGCTCCGTCAAAAGTGGGATGGCTAATATTTTTCTAAATTAACTTTATTATAAGAAATATGTTCTAAATAAACTGAGATGTATTCATCAGGACATTCTATAAACGTGGTGTATTAAAAGTTTGAAATAAATAAAAAGGTTGTACTTTATTCATCAAATTCCTTCAATTGTTGTGTCAATCACAATATTTCGGTGGCCAGCTTCAACTGAGAAAAGTGAAATAGAATACTTGATTATACATGCCACTGCCTTTTTTTTTGTGGGAAATAAAATACTATATTTTATCAGATTGCGATAAAATACATCCAATTAATAACTATCTTTGCATTTTGGATTGGTCATATACGTAGTAAACAGCGACGACTTGATTTTGATCAAAATTTAACGAAAGGGTTCCATCATTTGGCATAATCTGAAAAAAAATGGCTACACTACTGCAAGGAGAAATCACTTTTTGAAATCTACGTATAATTCTGAGTCAGAAAATACTTAAAACCCTTGAGCTTCAGACCCGAGATTAAAAACCCCATCTTGCTTTTGCACTATTTAACACACATGCTTAAGGTGCCATTTAGCATGAAAATTGCAATTGCTTTTCGATTCCCATCACCAAATATTAGCACATACACTGCACTGTATTAATTTAATTTTAATTATTTGCTTGTTATCAAATTATTTAATGTTATTTCATATTAGAATTTCAAAACAGATCAATCAACGAAATTATTGATTCACACACTCGCGAAGGCATCTAAACAAAACGCGTCAACTACTAATAGCCAATCAGACAAGAAGCAATTTCCATTTCTTGTTCTTCTTGGTAGAGTAACTGCTGGTAGTAAATGATGGTTATTAACGAGTGTTCTATCCGCTCAAGGGCGACCTCTATATTAGCTTTAATATCTTTTCTGGGTTCAATTAATATGAAAAAAAAATTAGCAATATCACTACGGACTAATTGTGTAATGCAGTAATTTTTTAATCATCATAAATTAGTTTTATTACATTTATGGCGAGCATAATTGCAGTAGTTACAATGATTACCTCAGGCAGAGACCCAATAATCAGGACTAAAAAATATCGTTATACTTAATTATAAATTGCTCAGCTAGCTTTAATGGACTTGTCAGCTTCAATTGTTTCTTAGAATTGTCCTTGTTGTAGATTACGTATATACATAGACACGCACTGTTATACAACAAAAATACTAATTTCTTAACCCTTAAGTTCGTATGGATTAAAACATTGACATATATCAACCCACAATAAACTAAAAAAAATACAATATTTGTAAGAGAAAAAAAAACTAAAGAACAAAATAGTTAAGATTTTGCTTTAATCATAAAAAAATAGATGATTATATTTTAGATTTTCACAAATCTATTTTTATTAACGTATTATTTTTTATGCACAACATATGGACTAATATTTCTCAAATGTATATAAATTTTCACCAATAATTAGCAAGTAAAGGTCTATTTATTAAAGATTCAATGCTAATTAAAGTTGATAACACCAGCATTCTGGAATACAAAACAATAAAACTGACGAAAAACAACATCAACAGGTAAGTTACATCATAGAATTAAATTATAAAGTTAGAAATGATGAAAACCAAAATATACATAGAAGGGGACCAATAATGATATTATATGATTTAAAGAAATTAACAAACTACAAGAAAAAATAAATTACAGTGTTATACCTTATCAACTGTAGCATGACCTTTGGTATGTGAAATTAGTGACAGAACACGAACATTACATCAAATCACCTGTAGCATGACCCTTGTACTATGCAAATTACTGACAAGTCACTTGTATCATGATGTTTAAACTTTGAAATTATCTTTATACGTTTCATCTGAGAAATACATTCAATTACAAATCCTATTGAATATTAACTTCCACTTTTTATAGTGGCAAACAAATAAACGAATACTGTATTGAGGTAAAAAGCTATGCAATAAAACATCTTTTTAGAAGGATGAAAAGAGAACTTGTGTTATTGACTACTTACTAACTGCTTCAATAACATCTGCTAACAAAACACCATCATTGACGTCAGTCTGAAGATCTTGGATGTAACGTTTGAAACGACCTCTTTCCAAGTAATGATTCGCCCAGTCAGTGTATATCTGGAAAATACGCATAAAGTTTTGTGAGCATTGATTCAAGACAAATATATAACTATGTGTAATTAATAGAACATATGAGGGGTATTAAAAAAAACATAAGGTGACTCTCCTAAACGCTGGATATGAATAGATTGCGGCCAACAACGGTGTCAAGAGGTCAATATCTGTAAGCTGTTAACAGTGGTGAGGGTCAGGACAAACTAAATGAAAAAAAAAACAATGTAAAGAAAAGTTTAGTATAGGAAATTAGTATAAAAGTAGTTGTAAAAATAGGCTTAATTGTTACTACTGTAATGCTAGAAGTATAAGAAATAAAATAGATGACTTTAGGACACTGTTAGGGATGGAGGATTTTGATATAATGGGAATAGCTGAAACATGGCTAAACGTAGATGAATTTAATGACAATAATTTCTTTGAAATACAGGGTTAAAGGCTATTTAATAGGGATGGAGTATTAAAGAGAGGGGAGGAGTGGCTTTATATGTAAAATGCGAGTTACATCCTGTTGAAGTTGAGAATATTAAAGATAATAGCAAAGAGATTGAATCTATTTGGGTTTCTATTAGTGGATATAAAGAGAAAATACTTTTAGTGAGAATTTGTTACAGACCACCAGATGATACTGATGAAATTAGTGAGAAATTAAGATTTCAGCTGTTAATGAAGTCACAGTTATGGGTGATTTTAATTTCATGCATATAGATTGCGAAATTCTAGAGTCAAACCATGAGGGAAAAAGGTTTTTGTAACTGCTCAAGATAATTTTCTTCACCAATTGGTCAAGGAACCGACTAGAAACAATGCTATTTTAGATTTATTGTTAACTTCTAATATAAAAATTGTTGAGAGGGTGGAAATTGGGGAACTTCTGGATACAATTGATCACTGCTCTATTAGGTTCGATATTATTCTGCATATAAAAATCAGGAATAATGATATTTTGGTTACAAATATAAAAAAGGTAAATTTTGAAGGGATGCGACAAGAATTATCTGTTGTGAATTAGGCAGCTGAATTATTTGGAGACACTGATCAAATCTGAAATTGTTTTTAAGGATACATTTTTAAACATTCAAGATAAACATTCCTTATAGAAAAAAAGGGTAGCTGCAAGTAAAAAAACAGGTTGATTCACAATGGGTATAAAAGATAAAATTAAAGCATCACAAATTTAAGAAGTTTAAATTGACTGGCATGATGGAAGATTTAGAAGGTTATAAAAGATCAAGAAAGTTGGTGAAACAGGAAATTAGGACATCAAGAAGGATGTATGAGAAAAGGTT